GGGCCTGGCGCCTGCGGAGGGCGGCCGGTGGGTGTGGGGCGCGGCGGGCAGCGGGGAGAGCCCTCGGTAGGGAAGGGACACCCGCGGCCTTTAGCTTTTCCGTGCGGGATTTGCCTGAGTGGATGGAGGGGGAGTGGGTTTCCTGTGAAGATCCAACCCGAACCATTCTGTGATTGTGTGATGGCTTCAGCACACGGACACTTCCCCACCCAGGCCTTCCCGGCGTAGGAGTCGCAATGGCCTGAGGAGGAGTTGTGTTTGTGTTTATCTTAAACACCATTTCCTGCATCTATTTTAGGTCTGGAGAGGAAGTTCCACTGACCGATAAGTCAGCCCTTTTACTGCTTTTCACCTTTGATTCACCTCCAGCTGCTACGTGGAAAGCGTTCTCCAGCAAGCTGGGGATGTCCACAGCTACGAATGCTTACCTGTGTTGAGCAATAACTGATACGGGAGGATGGAGCACCTCTCCTATGAGGACAGACTGAGGGAGTTGGGATCATTCAGCCTGGAGAATAGAAGGCTCCGGGGACACATTATTGCAGCCTTTCAGTACTTAAAGGGGGACTACAGGAGAGATGGGGACAGACTTTTTAGCAGGGCCAGTTGTGCTAGGGCAAGGGGTAATGGCTTTAAATTAAAAGAGGGTAGATTTAGACTAGGTATAAGAAAGAGATTTTTTACAAGAGGGTGGTGAGACACTGGCACAGGTTGCCCAGAGATGTGGTAGGTGCCCCATCCCCAGAAACATTCAATGTCAGGTTGGATGGGGCTCTGAGCAACCTGATGTAGTTGAAGATGTCCCTGCTCATTGCAGGTGGAATTGGACAAGATGATCTTTAAAGGTCCCTTCCAACCCAAACTATTCTGTGATTATATGATAAAAGAGGCTTTGGGCGCTGGTGCTCACTATCAATGCATATCCCACTAGAGATGAGTTTCACGTCTATAAACCTTTAATGCAAAGTAGAATTTTATTCAGGCTTTCTCCTAAGTTTGTGCCCTATTCTTCAAAGTGTACTCAGTTTAATTCAACAGCACACAAAGATGCTCAACATTCCTCAGGCATCACGCAGCACTTTGTACAGTCAGACTTTGTACTTGTGGAATTGCCCCTCAAAAGTTACCCAGGATAGGAGCTCACATTTAGGAATCCACAAAAGCTAAGATTTTAGGATGTGGGATGGGCAGTACAATACGTTATTCTTTAACTTGTGAATATTATCGAAAGCATGCCAGGAAACTGAAGTGATAGACGTTTTAGAAATGTATGTAATAGATTAGACTAAAATTGCTATTAAAATTGGAAAATAGTGGCCTCTACTGTATTCAGATTCTCAAGGGAGAAGTAAATAAATTATATGATTCTGTGATGAAATAATTTTGAGCAAAGTTCTACTGGGTTGACTTAAGATATTACATTTCAGTTGCAGATACAAAAGTTATGAACATGACTTTATGTTCTGGGAAGTATTTATGGTTTTCCTATGTAATTTTGCATTTTTAGTTGCTGCAGAGCAGGATCTTTCAGCTTTAATCCTGAATTTGGAGATTTATGCATGGTTTGCATTGCTGAATAGTAACTTTTTTGAAAAAGCGCTGCCTGCTTTCTTGCACATGCCTCTGCAGAAGAACAACACTGATGTTCTCCCAGAAGAAGCATTTAGAGTTCTGGACAAGCATCTGGTGTTGCCTTCTCCTAGCACATGCAGTGCAGGTTTCTTTAAAACGCTTTTTAGAGACGGCCTCACTTCTGTGTGAGAAAGAGAAAATTTCAGAGCATTGCCACAGAGTCGAGTCCTGCAACTAGGTTGAGCCTAGAAAAGTCTGAAGGAGGGACATAATAGTAGTCTTCAAATACTTTATAAAAGGCTGTTGCAGTTCTTCAGCTGTGGAGAAGATATCACATAAGAGGTAGTTTGGCTTAAACTGTAGTAAGGAAGATTCAGGATGAAAAAGTGGAGAACTTCTAAAAAGTAACCAGGGTAAAGCTGTGAAACAGTTAGCCTGGGCTTTAGGCACAGGCTGGGAGATAGGAGATTGCAGGAAACAGGCATGTGCACCTTTGCACTTTCGCACACCCACCTCCTGCGTGGAAGTAGTTAGTCCGATGTAAGCCACCAAGAAGCAGTAATGGGCTTATTCAGAAAGGCAGGAGACAAAGCAACAAATGATTCAGTGGCACTATTCATGAGCACAATTTGCCAGGGTTGTGGCAGAATGGAAGAATTATTTACATCTGCAATACTGATAAAGCCTGCGATTTTCATGCCAACGGAGCGCATCATTCTTGTCTTAAGATCTTTTTCTGTTACTTGCAGGCACACACAGAATGCACTGTGCAGTGAGCAGTGCTGTGGAGTGACTGTACTGAACCAAGGTTTAATAACACGGAGCCTGGCTGACTGCTTTCAGTGTCTGTGCAATTTTCCATTCCTCACTTGGGAAAGTATACCTTGTAAAATGCTAAATATGCCTTATAAAAAGCAAAGTATGTTTTACATTGCCTTTCTTTTCTGTATTTGATGTTTCCATAAACATGCCTCCACTACACTATTTTTATTTGAAACCGCTGCAGTCCCACAGTGACTTGCTTAGGACTGGCTAGACGCTTCCACTCTGCGTGTGTGCCTGTAGGGGTGAAAGAGCTTTCTGTTCTCCAGGTCCTGGTTTGGACTCCAGTATGGGGAAAGGAAGCTCGCTCTCACGAGAGCTCCTGGTTAAGGACCACGGACTCCTCTGTGCCTTTTGTCTGCGCTATACATAATCGGTGGCTTTGCTGGAAAAAGTCCATCTGGTGCTCGGAGGTACTTGGGAAAGGTACTTGGAGCATTGCCAGGATTCTGCTTCTTTCCAAAAGTTTGGTTTTGAATAATTGTGCCAGAGCCCCCTTCGTTTGCTGCAGCTTTGCGCAGTGTTCCCAGAGTGACCCCTCTCAGCATCGCTTTGATGTACATCTGCGTATCTTCACATCATCATGGCCGTTGTTGAGGCAGGACTAACTGGTCTCTTCTTCCCAGATTGTGAAGCCCGTGACCTTTGCATGGCTCCGTCAAATGCGTGAGACACGACTGCTGAAATATTGCTGGAGCACAGGGTGTGTGGGTCCAGGAGTACATAGTCACACATGGGGCCCTGCGGCTGCCTGCCAGCCTTTCAACAAGGAGGTGACATCCAGGCAATTTGTGTTCAGAGCAGCGTGGCACACGCAGTTCAGGTGCGAAGCAATGTGGGAAAACAGAGGAGAGAAGTTTGATGGTATAGGTGCATCCACGTGGCCGGTAACCATTCGTTTATCCGCAGGTGAACTTTGTTCCCTTAATTTCAAAATAGGTGGCTAGTTAAGTTAGAGGGATCATTTTATTGTGTGACCCTGAGGAATCTTGATTTGAAGAAATGTGAGTTACTGTGAAATTATCCTCACACTCGAAACATGAAGTTCTCCATGAGAAGTGGAGACAATTTCCTAATTGCAAAGTTCTTCCAAACTGTATTTCAAAATGTACAGTACGTAGCTGCAAAACTGGCATGATGTTCTTACAGGGCAGGAAAATAGCAAAGAAATTCATGGACAGATGTGCCATCTGTTGCTCTAAAATGCCTGATGGTGAATTTCCAAATCCGCTGGTCAAGGGAAGAGAGTTTATCTTCTTTAGTACTTACAGTTTCATGAGAAAGGCTCTACCCTTTAGAAAGCAGGTCACCAAGCCGACCTTTCATTATTCCAGGATGAAAAACTTCTCTCAATGCTCCTTCAGATTTCTAGAGCCCTCATCTTTCCCTCCCTAATGATATGTATAGTCTTTTTCCTATTAAATCCCATCTGCATTATATTTTTTCATTATACCTCACCGTATTATAACTTGATTAGCTCCTTTTTTTTTTTTTTTTTTTTTCCCCTGTGCATTGTTGATAAGACATGCCAGGTTAGTTTTGGGTCTTGGACTCACTGGAGGTCTGAGATGCAATAAGAAATGGGTTGCGGCTAGGAACTGAGCTCTCTGGTGGCACTACTCCATCAATGTGGGGGGCACGAGCTTACCTGCCAGGGAGCACGATGTGGCAGTTAACTGCCTGCACTGCCTGGAGCTTTATTTTAAGGTTTGTGAACAGCTCTTGAACAGACATGTCGGTTTGCCTGATGCGATTTGGTGAGACATTTTGAATGGGGTCGGGGTGGGTATGTTTCCTTTTGAAAACAGGACTTCAGGGTCAATATATCTTGGCAGTTAATAGAGTAGTGTGGTAGTTAATAAATTAATCCTAGCATTAAAAGTCTTCTCCCAAGGTGTTTGTCCATTTATGCAAGTCTCATATCTTTCAAGGGTGCAATCTTATTTTGACAAGCTGAGGTATTTTCTACTTTAAGGTCAGGATCAAGCTGAAAGCTGTCTTTGCTTATAGTCCCACCTTTGTGATTTTAGTAACTGCTGGAGTTGAAAAAAAGAGCATTACCATTTTATTCCATGTGTAAGCCTGAATCCTGGGGAAATATAGAGTGCTACACTGACAGCCCAGTTATAGGTAATTTTCCCTTTTTTATGGAAGAAGGTTTTTTTTCTTTTTTTTTTTTTCTTCTTGCATGGAGGTAATGTCACAAACTAAACCAATTTAATAGGTGCACTGCCTCATGAAATAGAAGGGGAAGCATTCTTGAATTTGTTTCTCTGAATGAAACATCAAAACATACCAAGGTTTGAGTTTGATATTTTGTTCAGTTTCAATTTAGCAGTAAGAGCTACTTTAATTTTGGGAGTGCCATATGGAGTCTGTTTCTAAAACACTTAACTGCTCTTCCTATACAAATTCCAATGTGCTTTTACTGTCTTCACCGGACAGCCTACATCACCTGTAATGACTAGTCTTCTGTCATCTAAAACCTGGGTGTACTCATGTAAATTAGTTTATCTAAACCTTTGAGTTAATTTTGTCATGAATGTTTTTCATTCTGAGCCTTTTTTCCCCTTGCATTTTGAAAAGTTGAGGTCAGGTTTGCTTAGTTCTGTTTGAGAGTCTTGTGCAATCGGATCCTGATAAGAACTCCCGCGTGTAACAACAGTAATAGTCTGTATGCCGTTAAAGGAGAAGAAATCCTGCATTTCAAATGGCTTTGCCATTGGTGGGGTCTGCTCTGCAGGGACTGAAGAGCAGGTTTCAGCTCCAGATGAAGACCACTGTATTTAGTTGTCTATAAATAGCTATCCACATATATACTAAGAGCCTAAGAAACTATTACTGTTATGGAAATAGGGGTGGCATTCAGATGCCTAAATGTGTCTTGTGCCATTTCATGGCCCTCCGGGTATCAATCTCAATTCCATTTGCTCCTCCAGAAGGGCACTGAGCTTCTGTAAATCCTCTGTTATATCTGCAAAGCCATGCAGGTGCCTTGGATACCCCGGAGCATCCTAAAAGGCACAGGATGCCAGTGCTTAAGCAATGGCACCCTACATATATGGAAAAAAAAGCGGTGTGAGAGGTTTGTTCTGGTGCTGGTGGAAAAAGACTGTTGGCAGCCTCATGCAGGCTCTTTTGGAAGTGGGTCAGTGGCAAATCCTTTGCTTATTCACAAAGTTAATTATTTAGTTGCATGAAGCAGACCGGCATTAAGTCTCAGGATACATGTGCCGGATATATAGTTACTGCTCATTTTGCATGAGGCAGTAACAAAGCTCATGGCTGCAGACAGAGCAAAGTACTTCCACGTCGCTTCAAGGTGCCTTTCTGGAACAGCAGTCAGAAAAGAATACTGCAGATCCCTAAATACCATGCTTGGTCCCACAGAGGAGAAAGAGTTGAAGACAGGTCTCTCACCTGAGTGTTTCCTAGTGTTAATTAATATTTAAGTACCATTTTTAAGAACATTAGTGAGTCTTGTGTAATCAGATAGTAGCAGAAAGAACAGCAGTTTATTAGTCAGCCAGAGGTTTGGATAATCACTATTGAATTTTTAGCTAAATGTTCCTTTTAGAACTTGCTTTTGAATGATGTGCCTGAGAAATATTATTCATTCATGTGTGGTACCTTTGTAGAAATTATGGGCTGGACAATCATCTTCATTGAATCCAGCATATTTTCAGCACTCGTCTACATCATCCCCATTTTTCCTCTTGAAGATCTTGTTTGGACAAACCCTGCCTCCTGTGAAAAACTGCTCTTTTTTTTTTTTTTTGGAAGTGGAGTTACGGTGAGATTTTTCCAGTGCTTTTAGGATTGAGACGTATCAACGCCAAGTGTTAATGCTGTGACTTAAAAGCAGAAGCATCACTTCTCCTGCAGCAACAAAGCAGCTCAGCAGCCCCTGTTTATTTAAAAAGAATGAATTATGTATTTCACTCCATGTCCAACTCTGCAGGCTTTGCCTACAAGAACTGCTATTAGTGGCGTTATCTCTACAAAACATGTGTTGTCCAGTTCAGTAAAAAATCCACGGTGCTGCCTTCTCCAGAAGGATGTCCCTGCTAAGAGGCGAGCAGGCTAGAGAGTGGATTTATACTCAACAGATCTGTAATCTCTGTGGTGACAGTCAGCCCACTACTTGGGATCAAAATGTCCACGCTGTGGTTAATAACAGCCAACTTTAGGATATCTGCTCATTGAGTGGGATGTAGCATATAGGTCCTGTCTTGGTCTTGCAAAGATGTCCTCTGGTAAGACACCAGCTGTGCTTGAGCTCTCTCCCTCCTAAAAGCGAGACATCTAAGTTATGTAAACAAGGAGAAAGGGCAAATCCATGTTGAGACATATCCTACATGTCTTTTGCTTTTCAGGAAAGCACAACTGTATCAAATTGGTAGGGCAAGCACACTTACTTAATTTAAGGGAAGACATTTTTGACAGCAGTGTTTCATTTTAAGCCTCTTTCAGAAATGGTTGATGCTGAAGATGCAGAAAAGCAGCCAGAATGATGTAGTCGTGGTAGTTATGCTAGTAAATTCAGCAATCCAGGTAAATTTCTACTGTAAACCCCTAAACTTGGCCTACTGTCACCTGTGTGAGATCTTACTGACCGTTCTGTAAGCATGCATCATTGGAAGCACATCTGCAATGTATTGCGTCCTAATCCAGTTGTCCAATACTGCCTTTGGTTTTTAGAGATCCTTGCCCGAGAAAAATAGATTTTAAAATTATTTTAGAAGATGGTTGTCTCTGTATCTTAGTGAGTTAGCCATTAGACTGATTGATTCATTAAATCAAATACTTAGTGTTAGACATCTAATCTAATTAGAAATTTAGTATGTCTGCTAAAATATTTAACACATTCCTTAATACCTGCCAACAAAATAATTGTAATTGCAAGTGAACCCTTTTAATGGCGCTTTTTTGATTCCTGGCCAAAAGAAATAATTTTTCACAACTGTTGTGTATTTTAAAGCACTAAAGTTAGCAGCCGTGTTTCAGATGCTGCAACTTTAACTGAAAATCAATGCAGAATTCTGCTTAATCATCTCTGTATCAAGGAGAGAGTGACCTATCAGCTGGCTTCCAAAGCATCATTTCCAAGATATTTTCTAAGCACTGGATCTCGGTCTCAAGATCCCTGAGCTCTAGTATATAGCAGGACTGAAATGTCTGATTTTACATGGCTGTGATGCAAGTCATTCCATGCAAAAATGCCAAAAAAGGCCACAAACCAAGCATAAGAGCTCCTCTGGCAATTTAAAAAAAAAAACAACCCCCCCCCCCAAAAAAAAAAAAAAAACCCACCACAAAACCAAACAACGCAACAACAAAACAACCTTTTATAAAAATTAAATATCTTCCCCAAAAGTCAGACTCTACCATGCCTCTGGGTTCGTTCCTTAAATACCAGCAGACTCTCCGCAAACAAATCACACAGTGTGGACTTTAACTCCCCGGGGCTGCCGAGGCAGACTCTGAATTTCCCAGGCTGGAGGAGAGTTTCTGTGTGGAGGGTTTCCTTACCTAGCGTGTGCCCTCCTCGCGTTAGAGCAGAGGGATTGCACCTCCGTTGGTAGGTCTGGGATTGCCTTGTAGTTAAACTGCTGGTTTTCTGAAGTGCTTTGCAATACACATGCCTACGCAGATTATTATGAAGACCTGTTTACTTTTTTGAGGGTGTGAAATAGGGCTGTATTTGAGATTGCTCGAGACAGAAGTTCATCCTGGAAAGGTGGGATTTATAGTTCCACTTAAAAAAGCCTTTGATCGCCAACATTAAGTAGTATTTTTAGCAGAGTTTGCATGGACTTGGGACTTGTTTATGACTTTGCTCTTTCCTGAACTGGTTTGCTTGTTTGATTTTTATACGCTGATTTGTTTCCAACTGAATGTTGGCCTAG